AAAATAAATGACACACTTCACTCAAATGATGATCCAGCATAATGACATTTTTAAAGTTTGACAATTTTCGGTCTTGTAATTTTTCTGTATAGCAAATGAACAGAAAATGGTGTTTGGTAGAGCAGTGCTAAGGAAGTCGACTTTGAACTCCGAAGATGCCATGTTCAGATCCTATCAAGGGGCAAACTTTTTCTTGACTACGAATTCCTTTGAGCAATGAATTTATCCAAGTTTGCTTCGACGCAATCATCCGAAAACTGGTGATAAGTCGGTCACTTGAAAATAATAGAGACAACATGGCATTCCGGTCTGGTTTTAATGGTCGAGATGTGCGACTAAGCTGTTCGATGCGAGTGCCTCTTTGGTTGCACTTCACATTGACCCATCTTAAAGCTGACTATCCTGTGTGATAATCAGCACAAAGTGTAACTCTGATTTCTTTCGTTGATTTCTATTTCTAAAATATCATCGTCAAGGAAAGACAGCCCTGTATGTGGTATAAATACAGCAACGTTGCACACTACCTCATCAATTCGTTCACTGGCACTTGCCAGTATCTGAGATCCAAAGTGCCATAATCTATTTAATGGCCCAAAATCATTAAAAATCTATATTCATCGTATGTTAGATATGATTAAATTTTAAACTCATTAACAGCAAAATGTGTTTTGTGCAGCGCAACCATCATCCCACATGACTGCTTTTCTTTTCAGAAGAAAAGACGCATTTCCTTTCACATACGCGTCACACACTACTTCCAACGTTCCCAATTCTGTGATTGAGTTTGAACTTCGGCAGAAGATAACCGGCGTCCAGAGCAGACCCTTTCCATATATTTGCAATTTGGCTGTTCTTTGACCTGTTTCCTTCGCGGGTGGGATATGTAAGAAATAGTTGCTTTGCTTTCCTTCCTCGAGGCATTTGCAACACATGCCCAAACCATCGCAACTGTGACTTCCCAATCTGGAGAAGCAAAGGCTGTATTCCAAGGCTATTCCGGATGCCACTATTCCGGACCATGTCGATACGCGTAAGGCCAGCGACTCGTCTAAGAAAGCCCATTTCAGCAGCTTGTACCCGGGTTCAAAGTTTTTCAGTGATGGTCCACGATTCATGACCGTAGGAAAGTATGGGGATGGAGATCAACTTGAATATCGAGAGCTTAGTTTTCAGACTGAGCTCTGCTTTAGTCGCAATGAGTCGGGCTAGTTCACGCAGAACGCCACTGGCTACTCCAATTCGCCGATCGATCTCTTCATCCAATTTTCCATCACTAGTAAATACAGTTCCGAGGTACTTAAACTTCTCCACCTGCTCCACTGCCTCTCCGTCAATCTGGAGAGAGCAACGGGAAGGAGAACGAGAAAGCACCAGGCTTTTCCTTTTAGATGCATTCGCATGCATGCCGGTCACGTCGCACTCGGCTGCCAACCTTTCTGGGGAACACTGTAGATCAGTTTCAGAAGATGCCGATTAAACAAGACCGTCTGCGAACAAAAACCTCATCTCGACATCTCCTATCGTGATATTCTCATCGCCATGGCTGCGACTGATATTCTCTCCACGCAAACAAGTAAGGGGATAGAACGCAGCCTTGGCCGACACTAGTGCCACTGTTAACAGGTTTCGACTTACCGCCACTTATTTTAACGCAACACATGTTATCAGCACATTATGATTGGATGGCTCATAACAATTGGCCATTCATCCAATATGTTCAGAGGCATGCTAATAGATTGTTGCGCAGGATCCAGTTATAGGTTTGTTCCAAATCAGCAAAGCATATTTAAACCGGATGAGCGAACTCTCAACAGTCTGGTGCTTCAGACGGAATGGAGGCTACACTGCTCTTGCATCTTGATGTAGGTCATTCCGTGGCCACTTTTTTCTAGCACCTTTGCGTAAATTTTACACGAGAAGCTCCATAAGGTAAGGCCCAAATAAATGTAGCACTCCCTGTGATCTCCACTCTTGAACAGGGATATTATTACACCCGTTTTCAATTCCAATGTTGTCGAATTTACTGATACGCCGCTGCCTCATCAACTCGTCCTGCCTTTTCCCCCTGAGTGAAGATATATTTCAATTTCCACCTGTAAGCTCTCACAAGCGGTGTCGTTTTTCGGAGCCTTTTCTGACGTGCTAAAATGGCGCTGCGCTGTCTGCCTCCGTTCAGAACGGGTAGCGACTCTGTTTTTGATTGAAGACTTCTTCTTCATTTCTTCGATCTTCGACAGCCGTTGTCGTGCTGCTACACCCCTGACAGCGATAAGACAAGGAGCAGGTTCTGGTCGCTGACTTTTCGCAGCGTGTCTCAATCCTCCAGTCGCCTGCGCGGCCCTTGTTAACCTAGACGACGTCCGAGCCGGTGTGTTGTTCGTTGACGGGAATATCATAAGTGGAGGGTGGCTAGGTTTTGCGGAGCCTTCGCCATGTTCTTCAACCTTCTTCCTTTTTCATTCGGGATTTAGACCGGCAACGTCAGAGTTAGCATCAAATCGTCAGCATTTTTTATATTTCGGTGTTTCCTATATCGCTTTTGTATTCAGTGACAGTCTGTTGAACTTCGAAGCCCTGTTGGGCGCTTAAGCGATGACATTCTTTTTTGCCACGCTCATTTGCTTTCTCGTGTCAGCTTTCAACGATATACAAGAGTCATTTCGATGTTTTCGACTTGTTTTAAAGTTGACTTCATTAACCGAATTCCGCGTGTATAAAACGGGCTAGCGTGTACTTTTGAGTACACCGAAATGATTATAGAAAAGTATAACGCCAGCATTATTTGAAATCACAGTTTTTAAATGCAGTAATCCTAATACCGAGTATAGCTGTTTGATGATGAAGCCAGAATATGAAAATCGGTGCGATGTTCTGTTGGGTATTAATTATGAGTATAATACAGTTATCGCATAAATTATACGAGATTGGTTAGATCTATACTTGCTGATCAACTGTTCGAAGTGTTATAGAGTATGGCTGCTGGTTTCAAAAAGGTTCAGCAGATTTCAGCTTATCGGAAGCATATGGAAAGACTGAGCAGTAAGATTTTTGGTGACTATGTTAAAATAAGTCATTTCAAGGATAAGAGTGCTCTGCATCTTCTGGAACGTTTGCCACTTGAAGAAAATGAGTATAAAGTCGATTACTACATTCCACATCCCATGTTTCATTATTTGGCGAAGATGCTTCGAATTCATGGTTTGTTTCGTGACGAACACCAAGATTTCCAAGAGGAGATGCGAAGACTTGCTATTCTTCGTGGCAAGAGCCCTCCAAAGTTTGGTCAAGGCAAAATATCTGCTCCAAAAAAGGAAACTATATGATAATTTTCAAACTCAGGGCCAATTCCAGTATCGTCTTTGGTCATGCTATGCCGAATGCACGTGGTTTCTTTCCCGTTCCGACTAGAAAAGCAGTAAAATCATTTCGTAATAAAATGGTAGCTGTCGCTTTTCACTGTTTTTGTTGTATGAATGCTGTTGTCTATTTCATATCACCGATACCCGTAGGTGTCGGTAGGTGACATTTCTCCGTTTTGCATGATGTAGTCGATTTTTGCTGTAGAACATACATTGACATGTAATAGATTCCCCGTAGAGTTACGCTGTTTTGATATTCCTCTAAGTTCGTTCTCGTTCTAGCTTCAAAACCGATGCTTAGAAGGTCATTCACTGATACCGATGTTTGCTTTGTGCATCTGGATTCTGAAGCTCTCACATGGGTTTCATCTTTAGTGCGATCTTGCCGTTGTTGAATATAGTTCATTTGTACTGCTGCAGCGCAAAGTTCATTAATCTTGTCGCACGTTCATGTCGTATAGAGAGAGACAATGATCAGATTGGGTAGCATGTGCCACGGCTTCGCAAGATGGAAAATTTGTCAGTGATAACCAAAGCATGAAAAACTTCCTCATATCTTTAAGGCAAATTCGCGTACGACATATTCGAATGCGAACCTGAAGGAATGGACTCGACTTCGGTGTCTGCATTTATCCCAGCATGATGAAATGAATAAATAGTACGGTCTACTTCCTAGTCAGTGAATAATATCGATAGGATTTACAGCTGATGGCTTGCAATTGATATTGCAAAAAATTGATATTGCAATTGATATTGCAAAATGATATTGCAAAAGTTTCGACAACACAACAGCCAAACTAAAAGTCAGTAAATAATATGAAATACGTTTCGGCGTGAAATCAGGGTTGAGCAAATCCGCTCTAAGTGACATGAAAAGGAGAAAAATCTTTATTCTAAGCTTGAGATCTTGAAAGCACACGGAAATTAAAACATTGCGACATGATAGGCGGGAAAAAAACTTTATACTCCTGGAAAGAAATTCAAGGTTTCTTTGGTTATAATGACTGAAAAGATCAAATGAACTTGAAGCCCAAACGAAAGAACACTAAAATCAGCAATGTGACATAACAAAAAGCTGATCATGTACGACGTTCCGCCGTGAACGAGAGGTAAAAGAGGTGATATCACATAAGAAACTGTCACGCAAGTTCCAGTTATTAAAAGGTAAGCTTTCGTTTCGGAACTTCCAGATTTCCGAAGCGAAAAGTACTAACAGAATCGATATCTCAAAGAATTCATGCTAAAGCTGTGTCAGAATTCCTGTTTTGGTGCGCGCAAATGAATACCGCAGTATGTTTATATCTAGCGTTGTTTTCGTGGCGTACATTGAGATAAATTTACATGCAGTCGTAAAAAGTTCAATTTGAACCATTTTTTGCCACTCGAAGTGAGTCATTAACTGTTATATTTACTACCTCAAAGCAACGGCCGCCTATCGCAAGTCTCTGATATAGCTTATGCTTTGAAGAATCGCTTGAGAAGCTTCGAGTCATGGATAAGGAAGCCGGAAATGACTACTATTGAGGTTGCGTAAAATTGAAGCATGTATGTTGTATGAACGACCGAACTGTCGTATGCGCAAAATCTAGCCTCTTAACGTAGTAAAAGTTGCATTTGGAACAGAACTTTTGGACTTGAAATTATCCCAAAAAACGAGGAGGCATAACGATTTTATTAAATAACTGAATTCATAGCGACGAATGGAATGGTTGACCAACTGTGCGTGAAGACTTGCAGACTTAACAGCCAGCGATACAGGGTTTCCTGATTTTTGTTTGTTGAAACTCTTGCCGCTTTAAACTGTGAATGCCTCACAACAATATAGGTGAATAGAGGTCTCTGTGATATTCATTTCTGCAAAATAAACATAAATTTCTTCATTTCATAGCGCGGAACAACGCGTTGCGCGTCATAAATGAACTCAGGAGTAGGCTTTTTATACTTACTTTCGCAAATGCAAATGAGCTCTCAACTTTTACTGAACCGGAATCAACGACGCGTTTAAAATCTCCTTGATCCTTGGTGCCTAATGAGGCAGGTGTTGAAATATCATAGAGCCATGCCTGCTTA